AAGACAAAGAAACAAACAAAACCTCTCGATGTATGTTCCCTTCTAATTTTTTGAACGAGTAAACCGTGTTTCTTGTCCCTACTCCCTTACCTCTATTCTCTTAGTCTCCCAAGATCTCTTTTCTACCCTCATAGTTCTTTCAAACACCCACCATTAGGCTCACCAGTATCCTACTGATTGCCACTTTTTTCCCCCCCCTTTATTGATTTTTAGAGAGAGAGAGGAAAAGAGAGGGATAGAGAGATAGAAACACTGAAGAGAGTGAAACATCACCGATCGGCTGCCTCCTGCATAGCCCCTACTGGGGATCGAGCCTGCAACCCGGGCATATGCTCTGACCAGAATTGTATCAGTGACCTCTTGGTTCCTCGGTCGACACACTCAACCGCTGAGCCACACCGGCTGGCCTTATCCTATGTGCCCTCTCTGCCTCATCTCACACACTGTTCAGTTCTTCTTTTCAAAAATTACTTGTTTAACTTCAAAAATAATGTTTATTTTAGAAAACTTAGAAGTTAATAAAATACATCTCTATTTTCTTGACATTCTCCCATCCCTTTATTTCCATGAAAATTTTTTTCCTATTGTATTTTTTTCTTTCTCTTAGCCTTCAGTTTATTTGGCAAACTTTCTTCCTCCACCCCTTCTTTAAATAGTGTCTTCTTCAGTGTTCTGTTCTCAGCTTTATGTTCTTCTAACTCTACAACTTCTCCTTGGATATTTTCATAATGACCTTCAAAAAAAGTTAATACATGTACATACACACATACCCACACATGCATAAGCACAGTAAAATGTACATGCGGTAAGTTTCAAAGCCTATCATTTCAAACCCTGTAATTTTTACAATAAGTAATTATCTTCCCACTTCTCCTCCCTAGCATCAGCAGCTGGTATCCTAGAGAGATTATGTCCATATGCCAGTATATATGTATTTATATTTACTTATATAATTATCAATTTAAAAGTATTTCTATATAAATGGCAGCATAATTTCCATATTGATTTGCATATTTTTCCACCTAATAATATGTAGGAGATCATTTTCTATCAGAATATAGAGAGCTATTACATTAATTTTAATGGCTACATAGCATTTTTTCATTTGTATTCCTTTTCCCCACCTACCACCATACATTATATTTGAAAAATTCAAACTTACAGAACGTTTAAAAAAACAATGCAATTAACATTCACCTGAATACCTACCTACCTTCCATTCTCTCTTTCCTTGTTTTTGGCCAATCATTTGCAAGTAAAATTTTAGGTATTATTCCAAAATTATTCAGTTTTTTGTTTTAAAGTCTATCACACTCTCATACATAATCACATTACCTTTATTGTACCCAGGACATTTAAGATCAATGCAATAGTTATTATCTAATATAAAATCTCTTTAAATTTCCACAGTTGACTCCAAATATCTTTTATAGTATTTTCTTCCTTCTCCAGTCTAGAAACCAGGGGAGAGTTAAGACTTGCACTCGGCTGCAATAGGCTTTTCTTTCATTCACTACTATTTAAATGATGACTACTAAACTGGATGTGTAGGTCAAATTCTTTCCTGAAGCAGACTTAAATATCTTCTAAATGTCATTATTTGGATGTCCCACCAGCAATTCCAAAATAGCATGTCCAAAGTTAACTCAATTTTTTCAAATCTGAAATCTGTTTTCTCCTTCTATATTCCCAACCTAGTGAATGGTGTCATTCAATGTTGCCTAAACAAGAAACCTTGGAATCATCCTAGCCTCTTTCATCTTTGAGACTGCATGTGCTACTCCCTTGCCTGGAATTCTCTCCTTACGTTGTCTACCTTGTCCACCAGTTCATCCTTCAGGACCTATGTTAAGCTTTTCTTCCTCTGGAAAACCTTCCCTCACCCCTTTTTTCTCCAGACAGAATTTGATGGGTCTCCAGTAGGCTTCCTTAGTACCCTGTACACATATCTATACCACCAGTTACCACTTAGGGTGGGAATTGTTAGTTTATGTATCTGCCTTCTTGATTAGAGTGTGAGTTACTTGAGTTGGTATGGACTTAATTGTTTTCACTCCTAGGTCTAGTAACACAGTACTGGCTCATAAGTGCTTAATGAATATTTATTGAATGGAAGAATTTGTTTATATACAATCTTCTCTTTACCAAGTAGAAATATTTGTCAATGCTCAACACAATTTAGCATGCATTTGTTGAATTCCTACTATATGCACAGTTTCATGCAAGTAGTAAGATTTATTTTCTGCCTTGAAGAAAGGTTAGGGTCTCATTGAGAGGATAAGGCCAGTACACTAGAGACTTAAAGAATACTAAAAGGTAATCTAATTATCTAATGAATGATCCAGGGAGAAATGAGGTTAGTGAAATGTTTTTAGTGCTTTCTGTGTACCAGTTACTGTTCTGTGTTTGCAAATGTTATTTCATTTAATCTCTACAACTTCTATTTTTCAAAAAAGGAAATTGAAGTTAAATAGTCTAAGATCATACAGCTACTAAATAAAGATTTGAACCCAGATCTGACTGACTCCAGAAACATGCTTTTAAGTGTTCCAAAGGCAATTAAGAGAGTTATAAAGTGATATTATAAAGGTAGGGGGAAAATTAATAACCCACTCTAGGACAATAATTAAATCATGGTATATCTCTATAATGAAAAGTTATATAATCATTGAAAATCATGTGGTTGAGGAATATCTTGAGAAAGTGTTTTATGTTTGTGATATAATGTGAAGTAGTAAAAAACAGCATATGAAAGTATAATTCCAGTTTTTCAAAATGTATATATATTTTTGTGCAGAAAATATTGGAAGGAAATCCATAAAATGGTTATCAGCAATTCTCCCAGAGTTGTGATACTGTGGACTATATGAATTTCTTCTTTGTAACCATCTTATTTTCCAAATTCTCTACAATGAACATAAATTTTTATAATCAGAAAAAAGATCATTTAAAAAGTAAAGGATTAAGAAAATAATCAAGCAGAACTTACAAGATGGGGCAAAAGTAGGTTTACAGTTGTCCATATGGAAAGTAATATAATCTAATCTAATAAAAGACAAAAAGGGTAATTGACCGTACCTTCGCTATGCTTCCCGTTGGATAATCAGCAAGATATGCAAATTAACCGCCAACCAAGATGGCGGCCAGCAGCCACGCAGCTGAAGCGAGCAGGAGGCTTGCTTGCTCCAGTGATGGAGGAAGCCAAGGTTCCCCACCTGCCGTGGCCCGGCTCTAAGCTCCGAAAGCAACTAAGTTTCAATTATAGAAGCTAAACAAACCCCAGATACCTGCTTTCAGCCAGCGGTGGCCACGGAGCTGGAGCCCGCTCTCAGCTCCAGTGACAGCAACAAAGTTTCAATTATAGAAGGTAAATAAATCCCAGAATTAAAAAAAAGAAGAAAAAAAGAGAGGCTGGGAGCTTCAGTCGCCAGCCAGCCTGAAAATGGCCCTCAGCCCCTCACCCAGGCTGGCCAGGCACCCCAGTGGGGACCCCCACCCTAAAGGGGGTGTGGCCAGCCTGAAAACAGCCATCAGCCCCTCAAGTTCTGTTGTCCAATAGCAAGTGGAAAAGGAATTTTCTCTTTATATTACTAGTGGCCTGGTGCACAAAATTCGTGCACATTAAAAGGGGATTAATTAGAGGAAATATTTTAATATTGCTATTTGCCCTTTATAATAGAAGTGTCAGAGATGAAAGAAAATTAGTAAAATGTATATGAAAATCTTCCTCATGTCAGAGTCTGGGGTGCACCATGGGACCCAGAGTCAAGTCCCTACCCACCCACGTGCGCCTCAAAATCGTGCGAGACCCAGACCCGGCTGGCCCCCACCCCATTGGGCTATATCCAGACCCGGCCGGTCCCACCCTTGTCAAGCCCTGCTGGGTGGGGGGTGCAGCCTCAGGTCTCCTGGCCCGGCGTCGGGGTGGGGGGAGCGGCCTGAGGTCCCCCGGCCCAGCACTGGGGCAGGAGGAGGGCACACCTTGAGGTCCCACATCAAGCCCCACAGGGGCGTGGGGGGTCGCAGCCTTAGGTCCCTGCTGATTGCTCGTTAAGGCTCGTTATGGGAACTCGGCCTCCGCTGTGGGCGCAGCCATCTTGTGTTATGGAAACCCCTGCCTCCACTGTGGGCACCGCCATCTTTGTGGTGGGGTGACCGTCAATTTGCATATTCCCTCTTTATTATATAGGGTTTCATGAGACATGGTCATGGGGGACACTCATGTCTTGTGGAAATTTCCGTTGTATTAAATTTCTTTCTAAAATAAGGGGCAAATTTATGCTCCTGTCTAGGCTTTGTTTTCTACTTCATAAAAACTGAAAGAAGTAGTAAATACAGATATTTAAGAGAAATCAAAAAGCAATAGAAAAACACTGGGCTGTTATATGTTTCTGTAAGTTTTCTTTTAAAGGAAATATTCTATGCATGATGTATCTGGTTTTCCTCTGGGTGGCTGTTTTTCTAGTGCAGCATGCATGACTGATTTTTCTCATTGGGATTTAGCACACTCTAGTGGGCAGTAGCTTTTCATGTCTTTTTTCTTTTTTTAACCTTGTCAAATTACTCTATTGGACAATTCAGTGATGTGCTTACTATATAGTAAAATTTGTCAGTATTATTTGAGTTAAGTAATGACCCTAGTGAGGAAGACTAACTTTATAGGCCACTGGGGTGTTGTACACTTTCATATGGTTTCTTCAGTAGAGAGAAGAGAGCCTTTTATATGGAAATCTTTTCCCATTGGTTTTCATCTTCTCTTAGGTAAAATGAAATTGACAGGCGCCTGGAGGAACACTGGTGGTTTTCCTCACCTCACACTCCTTGGATCTTATGATAGATTTTATGTTTCCCTTTTAGGACTCTTGAGAGTTTTTATATACCACTTTGTGAAAATTTTGGCCATTTGTGCATAAATGTTTTCATATGCTATCCTGGTAGATTGGGTTTTGAAAATGGGCTTCCACCAGAAAAAAATGTAATTTTTTATTTTGTTTTTGCAGAGTGATGGTGAAGATTTTAATTACATCATTGCATTTTTTCTTGGAACAGCAGCCTGCCTTTACCAGGTAACTAAGTTCTCTCCTATTTTTAAGAAACACTTTCCCATTATTGTTTCCAGAATCAATTCTAATAATTGCTTATGCACTGTTAAGTAAATAAAAATAATGTCTGAGGTGTTTGTTTGTTTTGCCTTCCTTTTAATTTGAGCCTCTGTTAGCTCTGTGACCTACTTGTCCATTTTGAGTGAGCATAGATACCGGTGAACTTAATGTTAACTCTCTCCTGGGCTGGGCTTCAGAGGTCCATGTCATTTGCTTGTGGCAGTAAAGATTACTTCTAGGTTTGGTGTGATTGATTATTCAGCTTCCAGACTCTGCTTATACTCTAGGCCAGGGGTGGGCAAACTTTTTGACTCGAGGGCCACAATGGGTTCTTAAACTGGACCGGAGGGCCGGAACAAAAGCATGGATGGAGTGTTTGTGTGAACTAATATAAATTCAAAGTAAACATCATTACATAAAAGGGTACAGTCTTTTTTTTTTTTTTTTTTTTTAGTTTTATTCATTTCAAACGGGCCGGATCCAGCCCGCGGGCCGTAGTTTGCCCACGGCTGCTCTAGCCTGAGGATTTTGTACTTTTGAGAAAGTATTTAAATAGGGAACAGCAAAAGCAGAATTTTAGAATATTTAGTTTAGCAGTGAATAGGATGGATTGTCAGAGCGGAGAGATTGGAAGCAAGGAAATTAGTTAGGAGGTCATTCCTTTACTTCAGGCAGGAGGTAGTGAGAGGTAATGGCAGTTAGGGATGTGTGGAGGAAGGACACGGAGAGGGAAGCCTGCTAGGACTTGACAGAATAGATATGAGACAAGGTGGGAGGAGGTTTTGTACCTGGGTGATACGGAGATGGGTGCTCGTATTTCCAAGAAGAGAGGAGGCACAGGTTTGTAGGGAGGGATGGAATAACCATGCCAATTATCCAAACTCAAGAATGTCTTTGTTGCCCAGCCGGTGTGGATCAGTGGTTAAGCAACGACCCATGCACCAGGAGGTCACTGGTTCAATTCCCAGTAGGGCACATGCCTGGGTTGTGCACTCGATCCCCAATAGGGATGTGCAGGAGGCAGCCAATCAATGTTTCTCTCTCATGGATGTTTCTATTTCTCTCTCCCTCTCTCTTCCTCTCTCTCTAAAAAAAATCAATTTAAAAAAACATTAAAAAAAAGAATGTCTTTGCTAAAACATGTTAGAGCATGTATGACCTTTTGATCAAACTTTTATAGGTAACACATTTCTCTGGTTTGCATAGAAAAAAACATTAGAAAGATTCAGAACTGCAAATATAAGGCTACCTAAAACTCAGTAGAAGTCTCTAGGGAAAAATTTGGATATATGCATTTGACTTTTATGTAAAGATGTGTTAAAATTTTTAGTTTCAGTGACCTTATTTTTGTAATCCCCTAACTTTTCTTAATTATTTATATTATTTTCAGAAATTGTTTTTATATTAAATATGACATTTAATTATAATGAATGACATTTCATGCAGGAAATGTGAAAACTTGTATTTTTTAATGTAATCGTGCTTTATTATGATGTATTCTTATGTAGATTTTCTAAACTTTAATATCTACAATCCTACTGCACAAGGGATATTATCTCATTTTTGAAAATGAGAAATCTGAGGCAGTTTCAGTATTATCCAGAGATCACAGAGCCATTAAGTCAGTGGTGGAGTCAGGACTTGACTTTGAATTTTCTAATTTTAAATATTGTGTTCATGCCACCTGCTGTCTCTAAGCAAAATTCCTACATTTGTATAATTTTATAATGCTATAAAATTATAATGTTATAACTTTTACATATATTACCTCATATGGTTCTAAAACAATGTGAGGTGAATATTAACTTTAAAATAATTTCATGAGTAATTATTTTTGTAAAATAATTACTCATGAAATAACAGCTTTGACTGTTTTGCCTTAACAATTTTAAATGCTAATAATAATAGCAAAATGTATTGAGCTGTACTTTATGCTAAGCCCTTTACATTCCTTGCACCATTAAATTCTCAGAGTCCCACACTAATCTTGTTATCCTCATCATAGCCAGTCAGTGACTCCAGCCCCAGTGCCTCGGTCTGTAGGTGGGCACACCTAGTGCACTTCCCAGAACAGCTGAAAGCAGTTCTAAGAGCTGCCTCATGGAGGAGCTGTCACTCAGGTGTTCTTTCCTTTGAGAGAAGCAAACAAATCCATGCTTTAAAAACAAAGCATCAAACAGATTGTCAAACT